GTCTGTGGAGAGAGAGACGGCGTCAGAGCAGGGAAACCGCTTCGGAGCACTGCCACGAGAGCCTGGAGCAAGGCCTGGACACCCCGGAGCATGGCCTGGATACTCAAGCATGGCCAAGGCACCAAGAAGTGTGCCCGAAGACACCCCAAAGCAGCATCAGGACAACTTGGAGCATATCCAGGACACCCTGGAGCAAACCAGGATGCCCCAGAGCATGGCTGGTGCACCCAGAAGCATGGCCCAGACACCCCAGAGCAGGGCCAGGACAACCCAGAGCATGGACAGGACACCCCACAGTGCAGTCCTGCAGCAGGGCCGGGGGCTTGCAGTGCTGCCGGAACCATAGGCAACGGCCTGGCCAGCAGCGCAGGACGCGCTGCAGGATGCCCAGCCTGAAGGAGTGCAGGTACTTCTTGGCTGGCAGCCAGCACTTTCCTTCCATGGGTACCCAGCCTTCTGCCCCATGTCCAGCCTGATGCCTCCCTGCAGCGCGGAGGAGCATGCAGAGGAGCATGCAGAGGAGTGCGTCTCCTCCCTGCTTCCCATCGGCCTGCGACGGCCAAGGAGCGCGGAGAGCACCCGCAGGTGCTCCCAGGGACGGGCAGATGCCCCGCACTCACATAGTCGTTGACGGGCAGGTCCTCCTCGGTGAGCTGCCGTGCCCGGCGCTTGGGCCCCGCTCGCGCATCCTTCTCCACCCCGCGCTCGCTGTCCCCGTCCAGCCAGCTCTGGTTGTCCGCAAGCAGCTCGGCGCCATCTTCCCCCTCTCCGAGGCTGGCGAGCTCAGGAGCTGGGGGAAGAGCCCAAATGTCACCGTTTCGACACCGCTTTCGCCTTGTGAGGGGTTTTTAAACTAGATCATTCTACTGGAAATGGGTTAGAGAGCGTGTGCAATTATACAGAGGACCTAAGAGGCCGCCACCTCTGGTGGGCGCGTGCTGTGGGCAGCAGGAGGTGGCAGCCCTGTTGTGAGGCTGAGGTGTGAGCGGAATAGGCTGTCTGCTCCCCCTCTGATGTTCATGCGGTGACATGAATTTCGGTGTCCCAGTTTCCAGCTGCGCTGGCTCCTTTGCAGGTACAAAAGGAGGTTTCTCTGTTACAAGGACGGTGGCCCTGGGGCACCACGCAGGGAGCTGAGCGCCTCGTGGTGGGAAATTTCAGCTCCTGCTCTCATGCTGGCCTGCTCCTCAGGTCTGAGGTTTACGGGCAGGCTGCAAGCTCCAGCTCCCTGCTCGCTCGCAATGTGGGAATTTTGTAGGGGAAGGTGGGTGGTGGCTGCGTCTCCACTCCCACAGCAGAGCAGAGCACAGACCCGCAGGCCTGCAGGAGCTGTGGGTGGGAGGGAATGGACTCCCCATACCTGCTATCAGTGTTGGGTGGATCCAGTAGATGGTCACGTTTCTGCAGATGTCAAAGATTTTGGAGCTCTTCAGAAACTCCTTGTTCTGAATGGGCTTTTCTCCAGGCACCCAGACCATGGACTGCTCAAAGTAGGTGCTCGTAATTTCTTCTCCCTGGAAGGAGAACGTGATTCCACCGTGGCGTGGAGGGCCGTGCTCTGCCCACATCCTGTGCTCCTCCTCTCCTAGGCTCACCCCGTGTGCCTCTTCCCCCTGAGCTAGCAGGGAGATTTTGGATTTTGTCCCGCTTGTTCCCTTATCCCCAGGTCTGGTCTCTTGCTGGATGCAAGTGCAATATCCAGCACCACCTGCTCTCTCCTCCCTCCATCCATGTGCTCAAAGAGCCTTCGCCTTCACTGTCCCTACCAGCTGGAACAGCCTTCTGGAGCTCCCCTGCTCATCTGAAACCAAAGATTAAAACATCTCCCTTTTTGCTTTGCTCTTACTACATAATTTCTCTCTCCTTCTGCTACTGATTTTGTGATCGAACACTTTAATTTATTCCTCACCGAAACTGTGTAGCTGTACTCTGTAATTTATAACACGTGTCGCGTACGCTGCATTATTCCGCCGTGTATTTTGGCAGGACTTAGGAGGGGAGATATAAAAAGATTTTTGGATAGGTCCACGCTGAGCTCCCTGCCAGTGCAGCACTGTGCTGGCGGTTGCGGTAGCCCGTAGAGCAAGTTGGCAGGTTCCCTCTGGAAGGTGTCTAGAGCAGTATTTCTGATTTAGAGAGTATTCCTCATTCTATGTGTATTCCTCATTTTGAATTTTCTCAGAAAAGTTACTACCATAAAACGGCATTTTCCTGATCTCCCGTGCCCTGGGGACAGGCATGAGGGGGACAGGGATCTCCTGGGCAAGATGCGTGGGGCTACGGTGATCCCAGAACGGGGCGGGCGATGGGGAGACGTGAGGGTGCTGCAGCCCGGCCATGTTTCCCCGCATGGCTCTGGGAACGACAAGACCCTGAGTTTTCCCAATCACTTCCATGAATACTTAAGTTTTTCCTCCTTTTGTTTTTCCCTATCCTCAAAAAACCTTCAGAGAGCAGGGGAGGGAGGGAGAGGAACGACTGGTGCTGGACACATCGGGGCATGTGCTTCCCAATTTCTCAAAAGGCCACAGACTCCTAGGAAGAAATGACTGGATCTTAAATCTACATTTATCTCATTGGGTTTTACATTTCAGTCGTCTACCTGGGGCAATGTTCTGCCGAAGATGGAAAAGTCATATCTATTTTATGATGGTAACAGAAAAGATCTATTAGCTTCTTATGGCAAAATCAAAGAATCCGTGTCTTGGAATTTAGGTCACGATTCGGGGAAATGTCTCTGCGCACGCTTTATTTCAAACACATGTTCTGCTGGTGTTTTGCGTGGAGCGGCTTCTCTGAGGGGGAATTAAGCTGTCCAGCACCCTCACTGTGTCCGTGGGGAGACGCGAGGGCTGAAGGGCTGTGACAGCACCGGGCCCTTTGAGGAGCCACACGGGGAATGTCCCGGCACAGGGATGTGGTCGTGGTTGGGCACCGGGAGCAGCGGGGAAGGGACGGGAGCAGCGTTCTGGATGTGCCCTGGCCTTGTGGACCTGATGCTCCTCCTGTCTCCCAGGGATTCAAGCTAGTGATTAAGCGCTCTCTCCAATTGCATTCCTTAAACACGGCTGCTCTTTCAAATTCATTACTCCTGCGCAAGGACGTGGGGCTCAATTCACAGAGAAAACAATTTTCTTGGTGTCTGCTAATCCCGCGCTGCCTTGCGCCCTTTGGACTGCAACAGGATTATTGTTCTCAAGTTCCCACATTGTGCCGTGAGGTTTTGTCTGCCTGTTGTCCAATCCTGGCTCTTGCATTGCTATATTAAGAAGCAACTCTCTGAAATACGGTAATTTTGTGACGTGGTCACAACTCATTATTTCTTCCTTGCAAATTCTGCAGGAAGGCTGGAGCACATGGGATGGCGCTGAGAAAAAGGGGGAAAGAGGGTTTCCCTGCGAGGGGTTCACTCAGCTCCGTCCCAGCTGTCATTTACCTACCTCGAGTTCGGGGATCTTGGCCTCCGTGGTCTCGGGTAGCACTTTAGTCTGCGTTTTGATGAAGCATTTCTGAAGCCCCACGAAGAAGATGCCGGTTATTCCCTGCAGCAGCAAAACAGACAACACAGAGACAGATAGCGGCATCGCAGCGAGCGCTCAGCTGCACTGGGGTTCAGGCTTATTCTTCCTGTTGATGCTTTTGTGCAAACTCTGCTCAGCAGCAATGCTAAGATGTACTCACAGGATCTCCTAGGGGATATTGCATTTTATGATTTGGGAGAATCAGGCTTTTTGCAAATAGTTTAAGGCAGATAGTCATCAAATTTTACTTTGCTCCCCTTTCCTTTGTAACTACGCCGAGCTCTGGTAATCATAAATAAATATATGCAGAATAGCATCTGACCGTTATGGTTATATGAACATTCAGCCTTCAGTTCCTGCTAGGCTATTAGCTGGAAATTTTGCCATATGTCACAGAACAG